CAGAAGCAAGAAAAATTGAGAAATGGCAGTACTGTTCAAGCCACTCAAGGTGCTTTTTATATTCTACTGGCTCATTTTAATGATAACAGTATATTATAAGTTGATCTATTTTACAAAATGATGCAAAATATGCAATTTCATTTTTAGTACCAGCAGTCAGATTCACCATCTACAAGAACTTCCTACTGTAAACAAATGTGAGACTGTGTTTTATTTATAAGGTTTACAGTATAATAGCTGGTTAATCATTGATCTTATCATTATCATATTATTATAACAAAGTCTAAATGTTCAATAACTGAACACCATGACACTTTTTAATTGATGATTTGAGTAATTATTGCCTAATTATTTACATACCCATTGCATATTTCTACATTTTAAGCTTCTGAACATTTCTACTGTGAAAAACTGTATTTGTGCATCCCAATACATTATACTGAAAAAATAAAAACAACTTGTTTTTAATATGTTTTTCACCCTGAAAACCATCACAAACAGTACATACTTTCTTCAAACATAAGATTAAAATATTTAAAAACTCAAAAAAGCTGTCTCACCACACACATTTTGTATCTAGCTTTTCATGCTATTTACCAGTAGATGCATAAATGAGGCCAGTTGTAAAAGAATTATAGAAAATCACCTACGGCAATTTTTTTCTTTTACCCGAGCAATCCAAGCACTTCTCGTCCGTGCTTATTTGGTGTCTAACACAACCCATTATTGTTTTTAAGGTCAACAATAAGTGCTGACCATCATTTCAGAATCTGTCACACACAAGTGAATGATCTAGCTGCCATCAGTTGAACTGTATATCATCCTACACATGTGATCATATGGCTTCTTTCTTTTTATTGTACATTGCAGGAACATGATCCCATCAAACCTGATTGAAGCAACTTTTCAGCAGGTGAGTCGACAACATGGAGTTACTGATTGAGAACTGTGCAATATTATTCAAATTTCAAATATTCAAATTTCAAGATGCCCGTAGTAAAAGATCTATATGGTTGTTTTTTCATTTCATGCCAGTACCGGACAGATTTGGTACCCATTGTACAGAACAATGACGCAAAAGTGTCTCAGACCAACTATGTATACGTCATGCCCGATTACCACAACCCTCGCCTGGGTCATCCAGTCTTCCTGGAGATCACCCCTGCACCTGACATCAAGTATAAGATTGTCCCAAGTACAAGCAAAGGCATGAATGTATTGGGGATTGTCATCTTCTCAGCTACAATGGGTAAGACAATCACCATTCAACTTTAATGTTTTATATAACTATAACCATGGGATTTTAAAATAAGCCAGCCTATTCAAGATCATAAATAAGTTACATGCTGACCATGCAAATGCATAGATACATTATCAAACATTGTTGCATTGGTTATATTACAGGACATAACAACTTTTGCACTGGCAGGCTGTCTCATGCCATCTCTCCACATGTCTCCATTTCAAAAGTGATAAACTAATGACTTTTGATATCAGAAGCAATGTCTCTATTATCGGCATAATGTGCTTAAAGTTTCAAAAGTAAATGTGATGATGCATTGGCTGATGTCATATATGCAGAGAAAGTAAAATTACTTTACACAGTTCAGTTGTATAGTTCTCTCTAGAAAGGAAAATAAGTTATGGGAAGTTTAATACAACAGTAAAAAAGAAATAAAAAAGGATGTGTTGAACAAGTAAATTATATCCACTAAGTGCATAATATTGGATCTGAACATCTGAAAGGGCACAAGAAGGTGTGGTTTAAAAAAATATATATTTTGCAATGTGGCACAAGCAAAAGATTTTGTAGACTAGTTTTAATTTGCAGCAATGCATTGTGGTATTTATGTTTTTTACAACTTTGTCTGAAAAGTACTGAAGTTCTGATCATAATATTGAATACCTGAAGTGGAATAAAAAGTACCGTATTTTCTCATTAAAATATTGTACTCTCACAGATCATGGAGACTTACTAAAAGGAGCTAAAAATTTGAGATTTATTAGCAATAACAAAGCAAGAATCTGCCTTATAGCTTATTTATATGACTAACCAACTAACTACTATGCAGTTAGTTAAATTTTGTAAAGTCTTTTTGTCTTTATCGGGACAAGAAGGTTGCACCACAACTATTAACAAACAACCATGCGACTGTGTTATCTGTTCTCAGGTCTGCTGCTGGGGAAAATGGGGGAACGTGGCACACCACTCGTCAATGTGTGCCAGTGCATCAACGAGTGTGTCATGAAGATCATCAATGCTGCTATGTGGTAAGGCTGCACTCTCTCTGTCTCCCTTTTTCTTTTTCTGTCACACACACAGATACATGCTACTGTATCACGCACATGCATCCAATAAAAGACAGACTACACAAAGTTCACACAGCAGAGCCAGATTACATCCAAAAATAGATCTCATGGCAATTCGAGGAAAACTCAGTGGTGTATCTAAAGTGACCTCAAAGCTTCTCATTGGAAATGAGTTGACTCTTGAAATACAGTTATATGAATGGAGCAAAGAAGACTCTTTTATATAAGATTAGTGCTACAAACTCATAAGTAAATACATCAGGCAACTCACTTGAATTGTGCTAAGCACCATGCAGTATATGTCGGAAAAAAACTTGGAGCTTCAAAGACTGATTGTATCCATGTGTACAATATGTGATTTTGAACATGCAAAGTCACGTCTATGAGCTTCAGCCTGCTGCTATAACAGCTGGCACTCTTCTGATGCCTGGCAGCATACAACATGGGATTTACTCCCATTCAGACAGAAGAGCATTAGTGAGGTCAGCAAACTGATGCTGGATCACAGTTGATGTCTCAAATAATCCCAATGGAGTTGTTTGGGGTTAAGGTCAGGATGGAAATCCTTTCCTGTAGGGACACACGCACAGAAAGAAACAAAAAAAACTTTCATATATTTTCAGGAGTCAACGTGGTAAGAAAATGAATGTCAATTCATTTTCTTACCACGAATTCATATTCTATCTTCTCTTCTTTGAAGGTATTTTCCCTTCGGCATTGTGTTCCTGGTGGCAGGAAAGATCCTGGACATGCACGACCCAGCCCATCTGGGGGAGAAGCTGGGCATGTACTTCATCACTGTCATATGTGGTCTCTTAGTGCATGGCCTCATCCTGCTGCCTCTCTTTTATTTCTTCTTTACCCGCAAAAATCCATTCACCTTCATCAGAGGGCTGCTGCAGGCTCTTGTCATTGCACTGGCTACATCTTCAAGGTAAAAGAAAACAGACATTTGTATGTGTTGTGTTATATCCCACCAATGTAGATCTTTCTACATTTCTAACTGGGACATTTTACCAGTCCTGGGTTCAGATTGAAGTCTGCTGACTAACCTGACATCCTTTTATATCCTCTGATTTCTTTCTTTGCAGCTCAGCCACGCTGCCAATCACTATGAAGTGTCTCCTGGAGAACTGTGGAGTTGACCGACAAATTGCGCGATTTGTGCTTCCAGTGGGAGCCACTATCAACATGGATGGAACAGCCCTGTATGAAGCAGTGGCAGCCATCTTCATAGCTCAAGTCAATGAGTATGACTTGGACTTTGGCCAGCTGGTCACTATCAGGTGAGAATAAATACTGAGAACAGATGCTCCCCTGAGAAGTTCCTTGTGTTGAAAATCTGTTTCCCTAACATCTTTTCCTCTGTCTCATCAGTATAACAGCAACCGCAGCCAGCATTGGAGCAGCTGGGATACCTCAAGCGGGTTTAGTTACAATGGTGATTGTCCTGACCTCTGTGGGTTTACCACCTGCTGACATCTCCTTGATTGTAGCCATCGACTGGGTGCTGTAAGTCCCACAAAAGTTATTATCTTTAAGTAAGTCTTACTATTTAGCTAAATTGGTCAATTTGTGATGAACTTTTCCCCTCTCATTTCATCAGTGATCGATTCAGGACAATGATCAATGTTCTGGGTGATGCCTTAGCTGCTGGGATTATGGCTCATATATGCAAGAAGGACTTTGATAAATCAGCAACCGCCGCTTCTGCTGCTGTACCTGTTGTTGCCAATAAAGAACGGGTAAGGACCGTTTCTGTTAGTATATATCAAAGTTCACATAAATGAAAGATTTCAAAAATTCTCCCAAAATCCAATCCTGTATATAGTTAATGAACTAGAAACAAGAGTCTGCAACCTCAGTTTGCAGGCATTTATCCTTAAATAATAACAACAACAATTTGTATAGCACTTTTAAAAACACAGAGTTACAACTTGCAGTTTAAATAAAGCCACATATTGATGATACGTGTACATGTTTAAACATACATACAGACACATAATCAGCCATACTGACATACATTCATTCCAACATACACACATACATGCAAATAGTTGCAAACTATGGCCAAAAATGAAGGGGAAAAGATTAAGCAAAGAAAAAAATTTAGTTTTCAACCATCGTTTGAAACAAATAACAGTCAGCTGATCTGATTGACTGAGAAATCTGGTTCAGCTTGGACGGAATAAACAATGATCACCTCTGGTTTTAAAATCAGAGCCTGGAACAGTTAGGAGACCCCGTTAGACAATCGGAGAGGCCGGCTACATGATAAGGTCTTAGAAGCTCTGGTATATAAGCAGGGGCCTGTCCACACAGAGCTTATGGTAATGGTAAATGGCCTGTATTTGTATAGCTCTTTACTAGTCCCTAAGGACCCCAAAGCGCTTTACAAGATCAGTCATCCACCCATTCACACACACATTCACACACTGGTGATGGCAAGCTATATTATAGAGACAGCCACCCTGGGGCGCACTGACAGAGGCGAGGCTGCCAGACACTGGCGCCACTGGAAGCCAGTGAAGGCAAGGATGGGTGTAATATGTGACTGCTGGTTAGGCTTTGTTAGCAGTCTTGCTGCTGTGTTCTGCACCAGTTGGAGACGAGCTATGGAGGACTTAGAGAAGCGTGTGAAAAGTGAATCGCAATAATCAAGGCGGGAGAAAATTAAAGGAGACCGATTATTATTTTTTCATTTTCTTATGTTTGTATTAACCACGACCAAGTTTCAAATATATGGTCGGGGTATGTTCAAGTAGTCTCCATAAACCAAATGCTAAGGCTTCAGAGTCATCTAAGGAAAACAGTTCTGCTGAGGACAGAAGCCCCACCCACCTGCTGTTCATCCCTTTGTTTATGACGGTCAGCCAATTAAGAGAAAGTGAGCTTTAAAGGGCTGGAGAAGCGGCTGGTGCTAAACCACCTGCCCTTCAGTAGACCTTGGTCCATAAGTACCTAGGTAAGGTACATGCTGTAATTATTTTGAACTACAAATCAAATATAATGTCAAACTTGGCAATGGGAAATGAAAACACCATAGCTGCAACTCAATATATGTGAACCAAATAGTTAATGACAATATGTATGCATGTTGCAAAAAACCCTGGCTTATCAGTCCTCCCCAACACCTCCTACCTTTGAACTAACTGTAGACCTACCGCTGTCATCTTCCCTACAGAGAGACACAGTAATCTCCTTTGGCAATCAGAGCGTGGCACTGTCTGATGCTCCGCTGATCACACATCGCTGCGATTATGTGTTTGAAGTGGATGGAGACAACGTGCTGGAGAAACCCGTGCCCAGCTACAACCTCTGTCAAGTCTGAGACACTTTTACACGATGCCTTCTACAGCACGTAGATGCACCTACAAAGGCACTAACCGAGGCTCTAAAAGTTCACTCAAAGCCTGTGCCATGCAGAAACCTGTACTACTTGATACAATGTACAAAACAGCATGTCTCTATTCTGCTTTGCATGTAGAGAGATGTGAGGAGATGCATTTTATTCAATCTTGAATGCACATTGTCTGAATGCACTTGCAGACATGAACATACGTCACAATGACATGCATTGGATGGAGATCAGTGTTTATCAGTTCCAGGGGGACAATTAAAATCCACAGTAGACCCGTCATAATGAAACATGACTGCAGTTTTAACTTAAGTCTAGGTTTTGAAATGCCTTAACGTTGCCTCATTTTTGACAATAATGCTGAGACCTTGAAAGACTTGAATGTTATAAGGAACTAATAGACAAAGAGCAACAGAACAGGAGCTTTCTCTCTGTTAGACAAGGTGTTTATGCATAAATATTAAAGCAAAATTAAGAAATATACCAACATATCCCAAGCAAATGAAAATTATAGCATAATTTGTGTTTTTATACCACTGCTTTTAATTTTGTGTTCATTTCTAATAAAAACCTGCTACATACCAGTGCTGTGAGAGTTTTTATTTTAATAATTAACCTCAGAGACTATTAAGCTTAAGATAAGTATATGCAGTGCTCATGATACATGCTGGATTATACTTGGCAAGGTAAAAAGAAAGTATAGCATCTGTCAGTTATAAGGTTTTTACATAATCTGGTCCTTCAGGAGATCTTAAAATTCTTTGAATACAACCTCTGATGAACAACAACATGGCATATTACAGTGTTATTAAACAAAAATTAAACCAAAATGCAGAAGCAGTGTGTGAAAAACTAAGTGCACCCAGTGATTCAACAGCTTGCAAAACCACTTTAAGCAGCAATGACTTAAAAGTAGCAATGATTAAAAAAAGTTGTGTTATGTATGAATTTATGTGCTCAACTTTCCTTCCCCCCCCCCTTTTTTTTCCTAAGAGAAATAAATAAATTCTGTACACTTAGCTTGAAATTTAGCTGGATTTTATAGAATATTTCATGCAAGAAAGTTGACAAGCACAAAATAATTGATTAAAGCTGTCATATTTAGGGCAAGATTTAGTAAGTTTCTAGAAAACCTCTGTTGTCTACAAAAAGGCCCATTGTTAGTTTTGTGACTGAAAGCTCCCTCTGGGGTCATTAGCATGATCATGCATTGGTAGAAATACACCAATGGAAATGGAAAGTTCTTTGAATGATCCAACAGTGCACTGATTTATGTACAAAGATGCAGTCACTTAAAAAAAAAAATTACTGGTACAGGGCAGCAAAAATTAGTGGCTCAGGAGCACAACTTAGGTCTTAAAAATAAAAAAAGTATAATCAAAGGTCAGGGATTAATCCCACACTCTAAAAACATTAACAGTTGTATTTTGACAGACATCCCCACATTGATGGGCAGCAACAATTGCTTCTAAGATCATTGTAAGATCATTGCTGAGGTCTTTCCTCTTTGGCAACATGAATACCCCAAGACCAGCAATTTGCCAAAACTTTGTACAGAGCTGCTTACTGTCTTAGTTCCTGTGGAAGCAGTAAGGATGTGCTTTAAATTTTCCACAAACACCATTTCAGCATTTTGGTTTAATTTTTATTATTTAAATAACAAAAAGACAAAGACAATGCTTTACGTTTTGGTAATTTGAATTCAAAACTGACCATATCCATCCAAACCAAGGCCTGGGGAGTAAAAACGTAAAATAAAACCACTATTTCTGGCATTCTTCTAGCTGGTTGTTGTTCAGGATGAGCCTATGCACTGTCTTGTATGCTGGTCATCCTGTACCATATTTCACTGCCAAGAAAGGTTTTCACTTCTAGTTTTCAAACATCATCGCTCACAAGTGCGAGTTGAAAAGGATGCGAGTCTCAAAACAGACAAAGAAAAAGGGTCCTGCTTGAAATGACAAAATTTGCTACAACTTAGCTATTTAAGTATCTGAATAAAAGAGTTTTTAGCATTCCAAAGTCACTAAAAACGGAATAGCCAGACTGGTTTCAATTTTCTCTTTCCTTTCCAAGCCATTTTGAAGAAGCTGTTTGTTTTGTTTTTTTTAAATATATTGTATAAGGTGTCTGAAATTGTATATTCATATTCTACTTTAGAAAACTCATTTTGGCTTTAATTTTAAAGTTGAAGGAAAACTGAGACAAAGAGCTGCAGAAAAAATAAGCTTCAGGATAGACTCTGCTCACTGTCCCCACCATCTGGTTGCAGAAGGTTCCAACTCCGATCTACATGTCAAGTCTACTATTAAATCCCATCTCCATATTTCCAAGAATGTGCAACAATACTGTCATATCACAGCAATACTAACTTCAGTAACATGTACATAAAAGTGCAAGTGCACATCTACTCATCTTTTTTCAAGAGAATCACGTAGATCAAATCCACAACAAGCTTCTAAATACACATTTAATTTTCCTTTAATGTTTTTTTAAAAGCCACCATGTTTTTATTGAAATGTTAGAAGACATTTAACGGACTTCAGCTTAGTGTCAAAAGTGTTCAAAACCAAGAAAACAAAACAATCCATTAAAAACACTGCAATAAGTATCAAGTATGACCACAAACACTGTCAAATAAATAAATGCGCCCCCTCTGATGTAAAATACACTATTTCCTCTTATAAATTAAGGCGGAATGCAGTTTATTTTCACTGCCCCTTAAACTCACTTGCACCTTTCATGCAAACCAAACTAGACTGCCGACATAACTACACAGTAACGTCAATAGAAAATTTTATATATTTTTAAAAAAAACCAAAATGACAGTCGATGACTATAACAAATGTCTATTACCTGCACTGAGCAAGTCATGAAATATTGCACAAAGTTAAGGATCCTGACACAATAATAACAACATGGAGATACTAAATCAAGATGCACAATAAGACCAAAGTTTGAAGCTCACAATGTGAGCACTCCTTTATGATGGGCCAGACAATTTTAACTATATTCTCAAGTGTCAGCTGAATTATTGCTGGGGAGGAAGAAAAACAGTTTTAAAATAGAATCTGAAAAATTGTGAACAAGCTTTGTAGCCAAGTATATTCTTAGAAACACATCTCCAAGTGTTATGCTTTTTAACTCCTGCTGAGCTTGAATCAGAACAACTGCAGCACCGATGCTAACGACATTTTTAAAGAAACATACACTAAGCTGGACATAATTCTTTTCTAACTGGGTGAGTCTTTTACTAATAGGTGAACAAAGCCATGTGGTAAAAAGTAATCTCCATTAAAGATTAAAGCAGTGCGTTTGGTTTTAAAAGCCTAAATCTTTGACACTTCTAGTTAAAATATGGAAACTAGCTTGTGTACAATCACTAGTTTCATTAGATACCTACACTGACAAGTGGACAATTTAGTGAGAATACAAAACTAACAGCCAGATATTAAAAGCAGCTTCATACAGCTAGATGTCTATTGATGATACTGAAATTGGATTAACTACAGGCAGCAAAACTATCAGCAGTGCCAACAGACTGATTCAGTTTGCTGCTCTTCTGCAGTTGAACTTGTGTCATGTTTCAAAAATCATTGTGGAAAACATCTAACAGATGCTTACTTGCCTTAAAATATCTGTTTTGTTTAAGTAACATCAAATCCTCTCAACCTACATTGGTCCATAAGTTGTTAACATCTCAAAAGTGTAAAAGCTTCCAGTGAAGAAACTTTTGCTTGACGAGCAAAGTGTTAGGAGCGCTCTAAATTTGCTACCGAGGGAAATAAAACAAAACTGAAAAACAATTCTAAAAGGGCAAATAAAAAAACCAAACAAACAAACCAAACAAAACTTGCAGCAAAACAAAATAAAATTTAATGGTTTATGTTCAAAGGGAAACAAGCAAAACAAAAGAAAGGAAGAAAATTAAATCTAAACTGAAATCCATAACAAAGGCCATTCGAGATAAGCACTCGTTAAAACAAGTTTGTAACTTAATACGGTAACAAAACTGTATGAATCTACAAAGAAATATAATCAAAAGAAAATAAAAGATAAAATTAACTCAAAAGTAAAAGGAAAAAAACAAAACAAAAACCAACAGATCAGCAAACAGCTAGTGGCGTTGCTCTCAGTAAGAATCAGTATGTGTATATAATTAGTACCTCATCAAAAGAACAAAAGAAAAAAAATTAATAAGTAGAGCTCAGCTGATACCTGTAAATTTCAGCTTAATCACAGAAGTTTTAAGTATCTGCAGATTATGGTGAACAAAAAAACCAAACATTGGCCAATGAGAATCCAGTATCAGTTGGGCTCCAAAATATTTATCTTGAACATCTGCTTAGAAAAACTCTTGCGAGGTTATCAGTATCTCTCCCTGCCTTTGGTCCATTTTAATTTGTGACTCACTGACTGGGGTTCATTTGCAACTCGCATCAAACAACTCATAATTAAAGACACTTTACATATGGATAACAAAACAAACATTTCCCTCCTAGGGCTCACTGTTTCTTTTAAGAACTCTTAAACCTGCCTGGAAGGTATACAGAAGTAATAGATTACCATCAAAAAGACTGATATACAGAGCAACCTAAAGCTGGCTGGCTAAAAGTGCTATGCTCTTAGACTGACTTGTAGTAGTGAATAGTTAAAAGGTCTACTGGATGTCCACTGTATGATAGTTTAAGGCATCTATTTCTACTTGTGATGAGGAACCAGGACAGAGCACTGCTCTTCCGCAGTAAAACCGTCTCATTAAAAGGGGGAGGGCAGTCTTTAACCCTATCTTTACACTAAATCATTCATTGAAAAGTTCACACTTGGATCTTTTACAATGTTCTGATTTGTTTGTTTTTAGTGCACTGCTAAGAATCATTGGTTTGCCTCCTTTATGCAGTTCCTACAGCTTTACATGCAACACATATAGACAGGATTTTAGTTTTTGAGATAAGTTTCACAAAAAAATGATGTTGGTGGTAATTTGGGATTTTAGCCTCTCCATCCACTCCAAATTAAAATTGAGTGTCCTTGAACCCCAAACAAACAACAATGGAGAAAAGAAAAGAAAACCCTAGACACTTTTGAGACAATTACAAAGGTGCAGAAGAGTGAACATGTCACTTAACTCTGAATATGATGAAACTGAAACTGGTGTGTCTAACTTTGAAAACTTAAGCTTTCTGCAATAAAAGCCTGACATGGGTTACTTCCCGCTTTCTTCTACACCTGATTGTCCGGCTTATTCTACTTGTGGCCCTTGCTGGTCTTAAAGGACACTTGCAGTATCTTGTCTCCGAGCCGGTAGCCATTCAGGCTGGCGATGGCCATGGCGGCCTCCTCGTAGTTTGTCATGGTAACGAAGCCAAAGCCTTTGCACTTGTTGGTGTTGAAATCTCGGATCACCTTGACATTCGTCACGGCACCAAAGGGACCGAACATCTGCCACAGGATGCTCTCGTCTGCGTCCTGGCCTAGGTTGTAGATAAAGATGCACCAGCCAGAGGTGGAGTTTCCAGGGACACTGACGCCTCCCATGCTGCCCATGTGATCGACACCCATGGGAGAAAACCTGAAAGTGAGAGTATTTAGCATACTTGCTGTCACTAAGAATGAGAGCGTGACTGATTATTGTTTTTTTTTTTTAGATAATCAATGAAATATAAAAATGGTAACATTTCAAGCATCAGCACCATTCAGTTTATATGTATGTAGCTCTTCCCTCACCTAAACCGCTGTGCCTGGTGGTGTAAGGGTCCTCCAAAGCGTCGGGATTGGTTGTGGTAGAGCTGAGAGAGGAGCTGTGTGTTCTTCACCTGGTTTGGGTTGGCTGCAAATTTTACTGTGATTGGCTCCGAGGCTCCTGGTGGCTTTTGACCATTTAGGTTTTTGACAGCCTCCTCCGCTTCTGCACGCTTGTCAAAACGGATAAAAGCCACTCCACGGGATGAACCTAGGTTTGAGAGAGCAGCTGTAACCACCTATTCTGATACAAGCAGCATGAACTGCATTTAGCTACTTAACAGTAAAAACAAACTGTTTATTTAATTTCAACAAAATTTTTGGAAAAAAAGCAAGGAAGCCATTCACCTTGCGTACCTGTACCTTGATCAACAAGAACCCGGGAATTTATGATACGCCCGTAACGTGAGAACATGTCCTCCACGTCCTTCTGGGTCATGTTCTTGGGAAGTCCGCTGATGTACAGGTTAGCATCCTTTATTGTGTCCGAGCTGGGCCGTGCATATGACACCTGGCGACAGGAAGCAACAAACGCCTGATTAAAACTCTGATATGCATGCAGAAATTGGAAAAAAATTGCCAAAGTAAAACAAAAACATCTAAACAGTCGTTTGGTTGAACAGAGATTAATATAGCAGTGGTTTGGTCATATTTATACATCTTTTTATTCAGCTGAACACTGCTGTGTCTGTCCATCAGAAAGCAACATTTTGGACTAGAAAAACTACAAAATAATCTGGTTGCTTTAGACATCAAGTTTTTGGTCTGAGTAAAAAAATAAATAAAACAAGAATGGGTGAGGGGGGAGGATCAGAAGCAACAGAACATTACAGCGATAAAAAAAAAGAAATCAAATTGATCATTTTGAAAATTAAATACATTTAATACACTCACTGTGACAGAATGTGTCAAATAAAATAAGTTGAATTAAAGTCAAACACCAGAGACTTATAAGATAGGGCAGTAAGTGAGCGTTAAAAGCAGTATTTCTTTCCTCGGGCTGACATGTACTAGCTAGATAGCGGACAGCACAAGAGCCACAGCAAAGTTAAATGACATAACATCTTTGCTTTGAGAATTGTAGAACACCTTATTGCACGTTACCTTGATAGTTTTGGACTGTAGCCTTAGTCCATTCAGTGTACTGATAGCTCTTTCTGCATCACTAGGGTTAAGATAGTTAACAAATCCGTACCCTAAACTGTGGCCTAGAGAAAAAAAAAGGAAAACAATAAAATAAAACAAAAAAACGTTTTATAGTTCAAAAAAATCTGCAAACAAATAAATATTAAAAATAAAAACAAATCTCAAACATTGCATGCTAGAATAAACAATTAAACAGGGCTGGGCTGGTTGGAATCAATAAAACAAGGCTATGATAATCAAAAATGTTCAGGAAACTACTTCCCAGCGTGAGCAGGAAATAAATTTGGGAGATCTCTCAAATAAAAGTTACAGAATCACTGAGGGCAGAAAACAGGCCATTAATAAACAGCGTCCAAATAAATAAAATTATTATAAGACAAATCTCCACCTCGACATGATCTGGCAATGCCACAGCATGTATTTTTGGCCAAGTCTAACAGGAATCCTTTTCCATTTAATCCAAGATCTTGTTTGGATCTGATCCGACATGATTTATTGCTTCAAAACTTTGCATACCTGCAACTTTGTCTCTTATTAGCTTGGCAGACTCCACCTCCCCAATGCTGCTGAAGAGGCTCCGCAGCTCATCCTGCGTCATGTTCTGAGGGAGGTAGTTCACGATCAGGTTGGTCTTAGCATCCTTCCCCTCATCCCCTCCCATGTGGTCTTCATAACCGTTCGACATGTCATACACCTCCTGCAAGTCAGCCAGGTGGGCCGAAAACACAAAACAAGGTAAGCACGTTGGGTAGAACAGAACTGCTGCTGAAACCGATTTAATTACTTACAGAAGACGGTCATTTGAAAGCTTACCCCAGACCGTTAACTGTAAGTACATGACCTGTAGTAACCTTTAGATTTTGAACTATTTATTAAACAAAATGATGCAGTAAAAATTTGTAATAATAGTGGGCATACTGGACAGTTTTGATAGTTACTAGAATTAAAGAAAAAAATGGTTTGCACCAAATTAACAAAAAGCTCCTGTACAAGATCCAGATGCCTCCTTTTCAACTATACGGTTAATAAGAAAAGAGGTCACACCAAGTAAAATCTGATTATTGTAGTCAACACGGTCATCTTAGTTATCCATCACTTATCCATCTACTGGACTTAAACATGTGTCTTTTTCAGAAGATTTAATTATCCATCATTCAAAGTCCATGACTCTTATAACGTGGCAATTTTTGACCATAAAGCCTGTCACCCAAAAAAAAATAGTGGTCCCTGTTTGCCTACAGCAAATTTGTCTCAGGTGATCTGCATGGCAGCCACAGGCTGAGTGACAGCACACAGCAGACCAGGTTCCCACAAGAGAGTATGAAAAGAAATGTGATTTTTCTTGTTTGTTTCTGTAATCATTGGAAGCCGAAACTGTAATAGAAAGCAAATGCCAAATACCTACCAAACACTTTCCTGTGTGTGATTCACTTTATATCCCAGTCTGTCAAGTACAGTAGACACACCAATTGTTAGGTGCAAAAGAGACTTTGAATGCACACTTTAGTTCCCTTAACTTCATTCATCCTGGGACTTTCTGGTCAAAAAGGCCAAGACCATTCATACTGCTTGTAAGTGTCTAGAAAGGATAGTAAATACTGGAATACAATTAAGTCATAATCCCAAATACATTAGACAAAGATGTGAATGGATGTAAACTTTAACACTAGTTGAAGACTGAAATGGGATTGGGCCAAGAGTCAATATTTCAGCTACATAATATTGTTTGTGTCTGGTTGATAACTTTTGATTATTTGCTTGAATTGCAGTGTGCCTTTTGGATTTTTTATTATCTTTTACAAACTTGTTACGCTGTTCTTGTACCTACTACATAACAGCCAACTTGCTTTAAGTTGTAATTGATGCCATTAATATGTTGTACACTGACCATACTGCCAAACGATATGGTCAGATACTACAGTACTCACTGAAATGAAAGCTGGCATTCGTACTCACTTTCATATACTTAATGTGTCCTCGACGAACTGCCATGAAGACACTTCACTGCTCCTGAAGCTACGCAGAGAAAAAACAAATATCAAACAACGTCAGGGCAACTCAACAAGCAAACCTACAATCTGATCAAGATGACATTAAGATGCAGCACATCTTATAATACAGAACCTTGTATTGGACGTTAAAGCTCTACAAATTCTTTGAAAATCACGCTGACCAGATTGTCTATAATGCTTTAAAGGAGGCAGCTCTCCCAGCTTAAATGCTCTCCTGTTTACTTTGTTTCTCACATGGGGCACCTATGAATGAAGTCACAAACTGGACTGGTATGCACATTGTGTAAAGAGACCATAAAAAGTGCAATTAATTTTACATTAAATGCATCTCTCTCTCATGTCTATCTATCTATCCATCTAGATAGATATAGTTTAGCAGTAAAGCTAAACATTGGGTCTCACAAAATGGGCATACATGGAGGTCACCAGCCAATCCCACTCTTATCTCCTGTGAAACACATCTTTTATAGGAAACAGATAGATAACTTTCGGATCAAATTTTATTTTCCTAACATAACCTCCAAATAAAACCAAACTATTGTGAGAACAGAAAGGGTTTGTCGACTCTGCAAAGACAGGGGTAAGGGAATACAACACCAAAAAAAACAAAAACAAAAAAAACAAAAACAAAAAAACCAGCAAAACTATTCACCACTTAACAACTTAAACAAAGAGTCCAGACAAGCAGAACTGCCGTGCAAGATAAATCGTTTTAGAGCAGTTGCTGAATATTAACAGTTAACGTGGAGAAAGCATGGAAAGTTTCAATCAAAGATGCTCTCACATCTTTTCAATGAACACAAGTAATCCTGATGAAAAACTGGGCTAGCGCACTAGTATTTTGTTTTCCATATTATCCAGTCGGATATGGAGCAATGGAGTGGAGTTGATGTAGCAGCAGAGTTAGATCAGAATTTGAATGTGCAATATTTGAATGAACAGCTTCCAAGAACAAGGGAACTGCGAACTACTGTGCTCACTATTTAACGCGGCTAAAATAAAAAAAAAAATTAAGATTTCTATTGAGAAATCTTAGATTATTTTCTACAGTGACTCCGCTTTAATACTGCACTTTTGTTTTAAACACACGGGTGAACAACATATCGACTCGCGAGCTCAAAATCGGAAACGTGCACGGGCCCGGCTAGCAAAATTTAATAGCATTAGCAAACTAGTGAGCTGCATACTCCACGCTTTTCTGTGCTTACAATGACAAATGTGTACATCGGGATTAGCAAACAGAAAACAGAAGGTAATTTTCTTATTCTAACTTAAAATGTTATAAGTGCCCGTAATAGGTCGCAATGTGAAAAGTAAAGTGACACCGACGCCGGATAGCTAACACAAAGCACCGCTGCCCCATTTTTGAGAGCGTCACATGAATGCTTTTCTGTCCCTGTGCCGAAACCCCAGCGGCCTGCTAACAGGCCACAGAGGCTAACGCTAACCAACGCTAGCCAAAGGCTATACAGGCCGCGAAAGCGGCATGGCAGTCATTTGCCTTTGACAAACCTTTGCACGTCGAAATATCGAAGCAAAGGCTCAAAGACTCCGTGGAAGCATTTGTTACCATGAAAGCTCTTACCAGCTTTTAAGTGGTGCTTTTTGCTGTTTCTGCTCCCTTCGCCTATTTCTTTTCTTCTTGGCAACGTCCACTTCCCTCCAAGTCGGCCTCACGTAACGAAGGAACCCAGAACGAAGCTAAGTGACGGAAACAGCCACGCCCCCTCACGGATCTGAAAGACGAGCTGTTAAATCGGCACGCCTCTGCAGGAGACGACGGTGGGATCCGCATCCACTATGGCTAGTTCGATCAAAGCTAAAAATATTTCCTCTGTAGATATGATTAATTTGAATAAACTCCGGACCCCATAAAACGGTAAAAAGGCATGCTGCAACACATAAAAACACAAATACTCTAGAGATAAAGAGATTACCGAGGAGTATGAGAAAAAAGGAATATTATATTACTATTTTGAAAATAAACTAAAATAATTTAGATTTTTTCCTATACTATTTTAGATTTAATCTCAAAATAATATTTCACGATTTATCTCAAAATTTCGACTTAATTTTAACTTAATTCTAAATTCTGCAATAATAATAACAACAACATCAACAATAATAATAAACACCAATCCTTCCAATTTTGTAATTATATTTATCTATGTTTTTTTATTGTTTATTATATTTTTATTAATAACATTATCATCAAAACATCTTTGTAAGGAGGTAACGTGCATTTTTATTTTCCTTTTTTAACTACTTGACATTAGGGAGTCTTATTGGCTTATAAACCTCATAACCTTCCCACAAAAACTGACCTCAAACCTTAATGAAAATTTGCTACAGGCAGATATTTTCTTGGGCCCTGAAAACACAGCATCTCATATTCTCTCTCTCTCACACACACTCACACACACACACACACACACACACACACACACAATTACAGTATGAGTACAAAAACACAAGCTACTCACCCATCAGAACTTCATGTTTTGTGCTAATTTCCAGCGCTGCTCACATCCAAAGTCCTAGCACTACACTCACACCGCCCTCTCCTCCCCTTCTTTTTTTGAGCATTTTTCTTTGCTTGCTTAACATAATTTAAAATAACTCTCACTTGGCTTACTATACTTGAAAACCAAATTGTTTATTTTGACAGGTTTGGACATTTCAGACAAATGACTGGGAGTAGGATTAAGAAGTACAAGTAACTAAATTCCCAGCATGCAAATCCAACATAAAAAACTTTTCAGAAAGGTTGCTTTTTTTACTTAGTGGAGTTTGAAATAGCTAATCATTTACAGCAAAAATTCAATTAGTAAGGAAAATCAATACAGTATTAAAAATATATATACATGACATTACATTCCTGTGTCAGGTGACCTCAATAGATCACATGATAGGATCTCACAGTGGTTCAGCCGAAACATCTGGTGGTAATGATCCACACCTTTTTTCACACCTTGGCTCACATGATGAGGCACTTGATAAATAAGGGATAACCGGGTAGAGTTTAAATACCTGGGACTTTCTAGCATTTGGTTTTAGAACTGAAGAAGGCTCTTGGATGAGAGGCGAAGAATCTTCACAAAACTTGCTTTCTTTCCAAGCTTCTTTGATCAGAGGGCATTAATGTTAAAGGCACGTCTATATAAAATAGAAAATAAAATAATAATAATTTGGCTTTCCAAATATGCCATCATTAGGTTTATTTTTCATCTACATCAAATGGACAAACACCAGGTTTTGGCAAAGGGTAAATATTTCTCTGGGTCTTAAGGAGAACGAAAAATAGTTTGTTGGTTGACTTGTTGAAAAATATTATTATATCTTAAAAGTCCATGTCACAATTTAGTGACCACAGGTATAGGGATCACATGTGAATATCAGTGCAGAGAAGCATAAATTGCTATATGCAATGTAAAGAATACAATTAGTTTCCACTTCATTTATATTTCTTTTCTAAAGTAATTCTGTATGCACCACTTTTAGTCTAATAACAAAATATTATTACACAGGCAGTGACGGAATTCTCCACATACAGTAATGCACTGACAATCAAGATACAAACTTACCACAATTCAACCACACACACTCAACACAAATATTGCTTGAGAGAGCTATAGCAGAAATGTGCCAGCCCTCTGTAGGCCAAAAAAGTCTGTGACAGTAACTCATATTCATCAAACCTAATTTAGGATATATCTCTAAGCCCTTTGCCCCATCTTTGCCTACATTTTTTAAGGCCAGAAGTCCACACTGGCCAGTTCTGCAGTATGTTTACATAATTACATAAGTTCTTTAGGGATTATTAAAGTATTCTGATTCTAATGTCTATCACCAACACACTGTCAGTCTTTTGGTGATAGACAATCCAGTGATAACAATAGACATCTGTACATGTATTACACAAAACGACTTTCTCTAGTTTTACATGTTTCATAGTGTACTGGCAAATGACTCAATAGTTTTGAGATTTGAACTATATCTATTCAAAGTGTAGTGATCTTTCATCCATTAGAGTATCTTTAGTTTTTCTCCAGTACTTGGTACCTCGTAGATCTATTTGTTCTCATGAGCTGTTTCACCATCACAAACAACCCAATCTGCAGGAGAAGAAAGAAAAAGAGCAGGATTTTGGTTATTGGCAAATAATCACCTTTTGCAGCCTGTGTTAAACATGTGTAAAAATTTATGATTAAAAGCGCAATCTAACACCACTAAATGAAGAGTAAAACCATTTATAAATTGCATGATGCAGATGCAGAAGATGTTTAGGTGGATTTATCATTGTAACAGATGAGCTTTTATGTCGTTAACCACCTTAGTTAACATGTGTGATGTAGAGAAAATGGAGTGTGAAAAGTTTAAATATTCATTAAAATGTGACACATTTTAAAGATTTTAATGAAAAACTATCAAATTATTGTTCATGTTTTTAACGACTGCTTTAAACAACATTTTTATTTTGCCAATGGAATAAATAACACTATATGTCAAATGGACTTCCACACAGGCAGTGATAATGGTGCGCAGTGAAATGTTATTTCCAATGTCATAAGCTTAGGACCTGAAAGTTGTTGAGCTTTACTCGGCATCCAGCTGGCAGCACATCTTTGTAAACAGTCCTTAATGTTAAAAGGTTGCTACTTATTGAGTTGGATTTTGGATTTTTTTGTTTGACAAAATAGGTCAATTCAATATGTCAGTCCAGGCTTTGGAAATTTTGTTGTTCATTTGTCTATTTTCTGACATCATACTGGTTATTAATCTCTTGTTCTCTTCCACAGCATGTGGAAGAAAGATGGCCACCCTTCACTGAGCCTGGCCTGCCAGAGGTTTCTTCCTGTTAAAAGGGAGTTTTTCCTTCCCACTGTCGCCAAAGTACTTGCTCATAGGGGGTCATATGATTGTTCGGTTTTTCTCTGTATGTATTATTATAGTGTCTCCCTTACAATATAAACTACGTTGAGGTGACTGGTGTTGTGGTTTGGCGCTGTATAAATAAAATTGAATTTACATATTAGATATTGTGCTAAATATTTGGCCAAACTAAAATTAAAGATAAGATTAAAGCTTGCTCTCATGATAACGGTCTCCCAGTGTTTCATTTTTCTTTTAGGTGTGCATTTCATATGCAATGTATACACAATATGCAGTTCAGAAATGTTTAAAGTCTTTCAAACCTCCACCACATAAACCAATAGGGAGCTCCACATGACCATTTTCAGCGCAAACTGTATGACCTTCGACAGCTCCTCATGGCAGCCCTGAAAGATTGAGTCAATGAACAAGAAAATCAGAGAAACAGATGGGTCTAATCAAACCTTCATGAAGAAGCTTGATGAATTTATCAGGATGCACATGTCTACCTGTGTGTAAATTTGCCATGGCTGGTGAACAGTGCCATTACAAGTGGGGAAAGTAACGTTGCAGCAACTGTAAGGAAACCTGAGCTTTCCACTTTTATTAAACCAGGTGGTTTCCAGCCAGTCCGTGTAGTTCTTCACACCGCAACATTTGAGCTAATGGAGACCAAAAAAAAATCACCACAAGTTAGTAAAAGACAGGGGAAACTGTCAAAATGTATATATATTATATTTGATTGACATGAGTATAAACAGGATTTGTTTTTCATTAGAATTTCTTAATATATCTAACTGTGCCATGTATGGACACATTACTTTAGGCCTGATTTTTCTGGATGAGGTAAAGCAGATCAGGGCTGAAAATTATAGCACTTTATAGGCATCTTATGGGACACTTTCAGTCATTACCTAAATATCCTCTTGAGTGAAAATTTCCATTAAGGAAAGATTATATATTTTGATTTTTAAAACATCATCTATTTAGAAGTATGCATAGTGGATCAGATATAGCTGTTGTTTTAGTATTACTGCTGCACAAGCTACACAAGTTTTACAACAACAACAACAAAAAAAAGCTTTTGTTGGGATTCATAGTCATGTCCATGTGACATATTAAAGTACAAACCTCCTCTTGCATAGCATCCACAGACCGAGAATTGGAGTCCTCGCTGCTGCCGGTGTAATTCTCAAACACTCCACTGAAGGGAGCCATCTCTGTATCCAGCTAAAGAAAAAGTTGGAAGAGACAAGAAGCAAAAACACATGTGCCTCTTTATCCCAAGAATAATCTTCTCTTATCATGAAAGCACAATTGTCTAATGCTTATTCATTTTTAAGTAATCTTACATACCGTCACTGAATGGAAATAAGCCAGTGCTGAAGCCGTACTTTTCACACAAAAGACCACAACTAGGAGGTAAACAAACTGCAAAAGAAAACACTTTTTTATGTAAACTCCAAACACTACATACACATAGAGATAATCACAGTCACAAACAGACTGACAGCCTCACCAGTCCCTGTAGACAGATGGAATCCTTGAGGCTCACCCAGGAGCCGACGCATCCGGTGACCAATAGCAACGCAGCACTAGTGACTGTGACCAAAACTGTCAGGGTCATGTAGGACTCTGAAAAAAAGCGGCTATACTCTCCATACTTTATCAGCAGGTAAACTCCATTCAGCCACACCAGTATCCCCACTGCCTGATAAATTAGAATAAAAAAATTATAAAAGTTATATTTACACATACTATTGATATACAGCTTTATGGGTTATCACCACAGATAACCACACATCTTTTCTTTATGACAATAACTTAGTAAGAGGTCTCCTGTTTTGCCAAGCCATCTTTGCTAAGCTCAATATCTGCCAACTCTTCTGGTTTCATCCTACACACAACAACGTGTCCAAAGAGCATAACTCTTTCTTTTACAAGATACTTTGTTCAAACCTATTTTCACCTGGAAGCTTTCTAACCTAGCAGCTACAGAAGTGTTAATCTTACTACACCAGTTGGGCTACATGCCTCACATCATAGTTCTGGGAATTCAGCTGGCAACCTTCCACCCACTGATGCATTGCTGTTGGCTTACCCTAGCTGTTATAACTGTGCGTTAATTTAAATCAACACTGTTTCAAGAAAATCACAGAGGTATGATCAAATTTAAAAAAAATAACTCACAGCAGTTATACATGTTCCTTATTCTTTTGTCCAGGAAATTCAGAGGAAAATTCAAATATGAATGGCTTAAAATGAATTATTTGAAGAGCAATGAGAGCATTGGTTCTTTCTACTGTTCTCAGGTGTGTAGCTTGTTTTTTATGTTACTAACTTTGTTAAAAAACTCATACAGTTACCACAGAACTAATCATAGGTTTGCACTGTGCAACAATAAAATAAAATAAAGGGAAGTAAACATGGACTATTAAAATGTACAAATACGGTTTTTAACAGGCATGATTATAAAAAGAAATATAATAATGAATCTTCCACTCTCCCTTACTCTGATTTTTCTGTAGTTCCTGTTTCTCACATGACCTTCTCTGTCGCGTGACATGTGACTCGGCACTAAGGTTTACATGTAAAATCGCAAACAACATCTTTTATATCAGTAGCTTTTTTTAAATACTGTATTTACTATTTTAAACAGAAGTAAGAATCAACACTTGGCAAAAGTAAAAACCCTATTAATCACTCTAATAAAGTTAATTTTGGTAATATGATTGGAAGGAGAATACAAGATAATACACTAAAAACTGTAGCATGGCTGAAAAAGTGTCACCTACCAACATTAGTTGAGAAGTCAACTGAAGTGCTGTTTTTAAACAGTTTGTTCTCGGGTCACTCATTTTCAGAGTAGCCTATATAAGCCGAAAGAAGAGAGCGCGCAATGATCGACGCCAGGTGCGGGTGAGTTAAAGCAAAGATGACATAATGATAAATGAATCGCGAAGCCTCTGTGGGTCTATGCAAAGTAAAGACAATCTATCTGATAAAACGACGTGCGCCTGGAAGCACCTTAGTTAGAACGTAGACTAGTTAAACTTCCCTTCCGCACTGACCAGAGATCAACTTCCCGTAAGAACGCGGAAACCTCTTTATTGTAAAAACGTAATAGAAGCTCCACTAAGCCTCCAGCAAATATTTTATGGTGGAATCACCAGTTCAGTCACATACTGGAAGTAAGAAATCCTGCACAAGACCTCACACGCTGTGCATTTGCTTTTGTAACGCTTGGCGTATTTCACCTCCGTATATCTGCACTCACCTGTGTCGCAAATGGAAAACGTTACTTTTTCGAGCAGACCCCTACCTTCCCTTTGCAATCCTAGCTTATGTCAACACTGCCCTCTTGTGAATCTAAGCGAAATTACGACAATGTGAGAGTTATTTTTTGATTGTGCCACAGTGCACGATCAGTGATTGATGAGTAGGTCTAACTCAAACAACTGGTAAAAATTGTAAAAGTATTTTTTACAGCTACAAATGCAGGCACATTCTGCAAACATGTCCTCAAGTTTAAAAAGTAAAAGCAATATTGTGTTTTCTGTCAACACCACCCTGGATTGGAAAGGAAAATAGATGCACTTGTATTTGCATACAATTTCATTTTATGCACTTACATTTTTGCCTCAAATTTGTAAAATTTAATTTTGACTGAACATTGTGACGAATGATAATGCACTATGTCTTTATTTAACGTCAAAAATATGCTTATATCTGCAAGTTTATGAATTTATATGAACGCTAATCTGGGTTTTTGGTGATGAAATTATTTTCTGTGTTTAAAGTATTTCTGATCTATTAAACAGTTGTAAGTCAGAGTGTGAATGAGGATGGTGATGGGAGTCATGGTGGAACTGCTGGAACATGTTGGACATGCTTTTAGCATGATCAGCAATCTTACAGGTCATGTTACATTGTAAACGTAGCATGACCCTTAATATTATTATTATTATTACTATTTTCATTATTATATTTAAACAGCCACCTTTGTAAGGAAATGTGAACAGAACAGAACTTGGTGTAAGAATTTTTAAAAATCTCATTTCACAATTCAGACAAAATTCATTTAATACAATCACTCAACCTAAATATGTAATTTGTACTTAGTGAGGTTACAGTCACTAATGATTAAAGATGAACATTTCTTAAACTGGTAAAACTGGCAATCATTCAAAACAAAACCCATACAGTCAAACCAATACCGTGTTTGCACGAGGAGAGAAAATTTGTGTGTGAGATGCAAAGTGAAATAATCATTCAGCTTTGTTACATTAGTGACCTGATGAACCTGTTAAAAACCAAAATCACAGAAAACTCTTATAACATCAGACTGTTCACACCCTACAAAAGATCAGTGATACTTGAGTTTTTGTTGCATCTTAATAAGAAATAAATTTGAATTGAAAGCACACAAGCATTATGCTTTGAAATGGGTCAAATATTATTAGATCATCCAAGTTATTCCAAGGATTTTTACTGTATTTCCTAACATAGAAAATTAGTTTGTTATTGTATTTATTTTCTTAAATTTTTAGAAACCTCACAGAAAAAGATTTATCAGATTCACTAAGTCTAAATTTTGATGGTTATAACTGTGTTGCTTGTAAATCTTTCACAAGCATTAAAAAGAAATGTCCGAGTCTTCTGTGTGAGGCTGTGGAGTTTTATTTATGTATTTTTATTATTTTATTGGGAATCCTAAACCAATCAGTGAAAATAAATAGTGTGACATTTAGATTGCCACATCTTTTATATCTGGTGATATTTGATAGTGGGAAAATGTTTTTGTTTTCAGTTTTAATAACTGAAATGTGTACTCGAGTAAGAATTGTTTTATTTTTGTCATGGTGGTGGACGGACTCAGGCACAGACTGAGGTAGCACGGTTCAACAACACTTTATTAATCACTCCGGTGCGCTATGTACACGTGAAGGGGGGACACCAGGGTCCCGGGGATTAATAGGGGGGAAACACACTTCTTCACACTTGCTCCGCTCCTTGTCCAAATACTCTTCACACGAGCAACCCACTCACACTCACGGGGTCCAGGAATCAAAACGGGCGGGTCCAGATAAACCTATAAACATAGACGAGGGTAAGTCGGCAGCAAGCACGGGAACAACTAATTCACAATGAAGCCAGGCAATACGGACGAGGGTCACTCAATATTCCAGCGACGAATAGCTCAGAGCCCCAGCCTTAAGAAGAGCCAGAGATCAACTGCAATTCACTCGAGATCAGCTGCAGGTGCGTGGGCCAAGGGCGGGAGCCCAATCAGAGCTCCGCCCAGGCAGACAGGTAGGAGAGAGAGAGAAACAACAAACACTTGTCGCCACACTGGGCTGGCCGGGGAGGCACAGGGACCATGACAGTTTTGTAGTGATTAAGTAGGAACATAAAATTAGTTATGTGGTGTCTTTAATTGTTCAAAATATCTTTCTATAAATTACACTTCAGAAATATAGTAAATAATGATTATTATTGCTTGCTTAAAGTCTTTGAGCAGTCATCAGCTCTGTGTTCAGTGGTCTGTGTCAGAGTTTCTTTCAGCAGCTGCAGTCAGTTCCTGCTGTAACAGCTCAGTATATTCGCAGTTTAACTGAAGGAGGTTTTTGTACGACTACAAATCACTGTGTGAACACCCATGCACTGTTTATTTCATGCAAACTCTGACAGTAGTAAACTGCTGCATCTTCAGCCTGAACTTCGCTGATGGTCAGAGCAGCATCAATACCATTCCCTCTTCCACTGAATCGAGCTGGAACTCCACCACTGGATGGTTTGTTTATACCACTGTAAATAAGAAGTTTTGGTGCTTGTCCAGGTTTTTGTTGATACCAGTGTACTCTACTACCTCCATCTGTCCAGGTATAAACTTTTGGATTGGTGTTGCAGGTCAGAGTGACAGTGTTTCCAGGAGTAAATGTCTCTACTGGAGGTTGAGTCACAGTCACCTGACCACTGCATCCTGCAGACAGAAACAAATCATTCATTTATCAGCAGAAATCAATGAGAGAAAAAGCAGCACATCATGTTTGAAATGTTGCTGAGTGAATGAACCTGTAAAACAGCAGCAGGTCAGCGTCCAGATGAGGATGGTGATGAGAGTCATGGTGGTTGTGCTTTCTGCTGTGTTGACTGACAGATGTGAGTCCTGCAGTGTTGAACTCACAGGACTATAAACCTTCTCAGTTCTCTGGAGGATCAGCTGATGATGCAAAGCCTCCTCTCTATGGAAATGATTTCTCTGCTCTCAACACACTGAAGACAACATGGGATAGAAAGTCAGAAGAAAAATTGTTTGGATTATTTTATTATACATACAACTTGAGTGATACTACTTTTCTAACAACAAGACAATATTAGAAGCAATATTTTTGATATGTAAATTAATTATTATTGCATAATTATGATTCTGACAAAATACTGGCAAATATATTAGGAAAGATGAGATCAGTTTTTTGGATCTGGATTAAAATGCCACATTTGTTGGTAAGTATATATTTTAGTTTCTTGCATCAACCAGCAGAAAAAAATGATGAAAATGATCTTAAATTGTTTTAAAAAAAACATAGTTACATGATTTTGATAGTAAATGCTTTTACCTCGTAAACTGTGAACTTTACTGGGCAAAAGAGCAGATTTTCAAGGGTTAGATCCTTGATCAGAGTGTGGGAGGTTTTTGTACGGCCACTTAATGAGTTTGTATCACTGTGGTACACTTTTGGTGGAGGAACCAAAGTCATCATTCACTGTAAGTATCTAAATCTCCTCATTACTACAAAATATTATACTATTACTTTTTTTTTAAAATATCTTCTGAGATGTTATTCTGGGTGTTTTAAATGATGTGTATATTTGATGGGGCTTTGCCATAGTGGCTGATATTGAAAACTTGGTAGAGTTTAAATATATAATACAGTATCATGACTGAATGTTTATATAGTACTGAAAATGTCTTCAGTCCATTTTAATTAAGGGTTGTTTTGTTTTTTGCATCTATTCTGTGTATATTTCTTTCACAAAATCAGAGACTGAAAATATAGCACAAGGATTTTTTGATTTTATTTATTTTTACAAACAGTCAACAGGATAAAAACATTCTTGTTTTGAAGATCTTTTATTTATTTGCAGATTAATGGTTTTATCTCTGAGTTTATAGTTTATTAGTCTGATGTAGTAAAAAGGAAGTGAAACAAACAGATGACAAAGTCCAGCTCTGTTTGTTTACCATCAAGAATATAACTGTATTAAAAATACATTTACTCTAAATTATTGTAACTTTTACAAAGATTCGAATTGAGTGTAAAAACACAATTTGTTAATATTTTTTAAAATGCTGTTAACATCTGTCATGTATCATAACTGTAATGCTCAGCTGTCTGTGGCTGAAAATATAATATGAGGAATTTCACTGAAATATTTGACACCATGTTGGATGTAACGTTTTATGCTGTTGACTAAATGAATTAGTTTTCATACAGATGCACTTTAACGGTTGAGTTTACAGTTCGTTAGTCTGATGTGATGAAAAGGAAGTGAAACAAACAGATGACAAACTTTAATGTTTCCTGAACACACTTACATTTTATCATCATGAAAACAAATACAGCAGCACATTCTCTAATTAGATATACTTTGTTAAAGCCTAATATCCTCCAATTTCTAAGTTTCTCTCAGAATCTCTGTTCATCATGCAGTTAATCCACAGGCCTGTTAATCTCTGTCATGTATCATAACTGTCTCGTGTCAGCTCTCTGTCCTACAGTAGAAGTTAATCTACTCCTTGTGTGTCTGTGATCTTCCCTCCAGCTGGCCCCATGGTCAGACCCTCAGTCTCTCTGCTCCAACCCTCCTCTGAGAAGCTCTCTGGAGGCCCAGTCACACTGGCCTGCCTGCTGACCAGCTACTCTCCTCAGGGAGCTGAAGTGAGATGGGAAGTAGATGGCACCGAGGTGACAGAGGGGGTCCTGAACAGCTTAGAAGAAGAGAAGAGTAGTCGCTACAGCAGCAGCAGCACCCTGATGCTGAGCCAAGAGAACTGGATGAACGCAGAGGTGTTCTCCTGCAGGGTGAACCATCATGACTACTGGCAGTCCAAGTCCTTCCGCAAGAACCGGTGTGAGGGCTAGAGGGGCTGCTGAAGTCCAGGACAGGAGCTTAGTGTGGGGGAGCAGGAGATACATCCCTGCTGCTCTGATCAATATGAGTTTGAAAGTTTGCACATGAAATTATTATTATAACAACAACTCAGATAGTGACATGTGTAGCAGCTGGATGTGAGTGTGCCTAATAACTGCCAATTCATATTTTATAATAAAGCTTGCAGTGATCCATATTATTAAGTATTTTTGTCTTATTTTAAAATGTAGTAGCTCTCTAATTGGAGCGTACGGTACTATAAATTAACCTGCTTGCCTCTCACATGAAAAATCAATTCATGTATCTCCAAATCTTACTCTTACTGAATTTTTTTTAAACTTGAGTTTGATTCAGCAAATTAACCTCTTAAGCCCCAAGCCTACCTGATCTCCTGCTTTTTGCCCCCATATCAGGGGGCGTTGGGGCTTAAGAGGTTAATTATTCAGTTTAAATTAAAACTACCAAGAAATCCAGACAATTAGAAATATCAAATTACTCTGAATGTTTTATGTTGCATTACAACATTTTTAAGAAAGTTTCAGTCACAACCAGCAGCTTAATTGAGTGTAATCAGAATACTTTTTTTTTTTTTTAAATTGCAGCTCATTTCAAATTCAGCGTTTCAGCCAGATCGAAAGCTTATATGTAGGGTTCTAATTATATTATAATTATATTATTATTGTTGTTTTTCAATCAGTTTGTGGAAAGTTTGCAGTGTTGTGTTTCAGTTCACACTGATGAATTCTGTTGGCCTGGTTTAGGACAGTTTGTGCTAACCTTGGTCACCGCTAGGTTCGGTCCTGCATTGCACCAGAGACATTATAAGAGAGAGACATGGAAGTGATTTGAAATATAGGCAAGCACACATCTGTTTTTGTGAAACAGAACAGGTACATATAATGTGTAAGTTGATCCTTTTCTCATTCAGCTTTTTTTGGGAAAAAAAAACCAAAACAATTTTTTTTCCATGAAAGCAACTAGCTTTTTTTTTTCTGTTTTCTCGTGGGAGGATCAGCTGATGATGCAAAACCTCCTCTCTATGGAAATGATTTCTCTGCTCTCAACATACAACAAAACAATGCGAGAAGGAATACTTTTGATATCTAGATGAATTATTATGACATAATTATGATTCTAACAGAATACAGACAAATATTTCAGGAAAGATGAGAGCAGTTTTTTTAACATCTGGTTTAAAATGCCACATTTGTTGGTAAGTATATATTTTACTTTCTTGGATCAACCAGCAGAGGAAAAATGATGAAAATGATCATAATTTTTTTTAAATATATATATATATAGTTACATGTATTTGATGGCAAATGCTTTTGCCTTGTAAACTTTGAAGTTTACTGGGGGAAAAGAGCAGATTTTCAAGGGTTAGATGTTTGATCAGAGTGCAGGAGGTTTTTGTACGGCCACTTAATGAGTTTGTATCACTGTGGT